ACACACACACACACACACACACACACACACACACACACACACACACATACACACACACACACACACACAGGAAAGAACAAGAGTTGTATGCAATATCTAGACAAATCTCAAACCAATATGTGGTGTTGAGGTAGCAATAATACAGTGAACTGTACAATTTCATTTCTACTACAAATTTCTAGGAAGTGCCTGTACTTCCAGGTGATACAAGGTGGGGTCAGTGGATGCCTCAGCATGAAGGCAGGAGCTGGAGGATGTCGCCTTGGATCCGATGCCTGTGTCTGGAGAAGTGTATTAAAGTAAAAACTCATCATGCTTACACAATGTTTATTAAATGTCAACAACACCTCAGTAAATCTATGAAACATGAGACAAGACCCCTGAAGGAGACCAGAGGGGAGGTTCCTGAAGGTTCCAGGGGGGAGGGGGATTGTGGTTAGGAAACAGCTGGGCCCTAGGCTGCTCTTCTTCATGGTCACGACTCCCTGTGCTTCAAGGGACTTTACAAAGAGGTTATAGCATGTCTTCCTTATCAGATACAATGCTTCTAAAGATGGGGGCATGTGCCCCTCAGCCCCTTCCACAGGAAAGGCAGAGCTAGGCCTATCTGTGGACTGCCAGCTGTTCCCTCTGGCCCTCCACAGCAGTGCTGGGGTCCCAGCTTACCAGCTCCCAGAAGAAAAGAGTAGCCAGACATCAGGGTTTGGAAGAGGAATGGAGAGAGTGAACTGGTGGGGTGGCTGGTCTTAAGTTCCTTGTGCTCTCTTGGTCAGGTGACCTGGATTTCTTCCTGCTGGGCACAGGCTGGGCAGCAACGCTCTCTCTTCTTGTAGTCTACAGAGCAGGTGTGGCAAACCAGGCCTCCACAGAGCCTGGAAATAGAGACAGGGAAGCCTGGGCTGGCATCTAGGGGAAGATCTGCCTGTCCTCATGGTCCAGCAGGGCAGCCTTTGGTTAGCTCAGGATGCTTCCCTTTCCCTACAGCCTGTCTTGATACCTCACTCCAGAGCCTCTAATTCAGGTGGCAGCTTCTTCTGATGGTTTGTTTCCTCCTCCTGTTCGTCCTCCCCATGAAGTCAGTGGAGGGGAAGGGAGTGTTCTTTCTGTACAGAGGTGCAGGAACCCTCTCCCCATTAACCTGCATGCTGGGAGGTTAATGGCCTCATCATCTAAGATCTACCTTTCTTCCTTTGTGGTCCTGCCCACTGTTCTATTTCAGGATTCTGCTTAGCAGCAGTAGCCAGATAGGGTGACTTGTAGGGCCAAGCTCAAGTGGCTCTTTACAAGTACACATTTCCCACACCCTAGCATGGAGGTGAACATTTATAGTGTCAGCATGCAGGAGTGATTGAAACTGGAGGATCATACATTTGTGTTCCGCCTGGGTCACATGATGAGTTTAGAGTCAGCCTGGGGTACATAGTCTCAAAATAGCCAACTAAACCACTGTTGGTGAGATGGCTCACGGGATAAAGGTACTTGTCACCAAACTGGGTGACCCGAGTTTGATCCCTGAAACCCACAAGGTAGGAGAGAACCAGCTTCTACAAGTTTTTCTCTGACTTTCACATGTGTGCTATCGCACACATGTGCATGAAAGCATGCCACACAAACATACACCCTGAAGTAGATGTCAAAGATAATGTCCTTAAAAACCAAACAAATCAAACACAAACAATAAGTTTCGTTTCCTGAGTAAACAGGTCTGTGAGTTGTCCCAGACTCTGTGCCTTTCCATTACCTGCAAGGATACCGCCGAGACAGACGCCTGAAGGCCTTGTTACAGCCCACGCAGTGTCCAGGGGCCACAGCAGACAGCTGCTGGAGTCTTTGCCATTGGTGGTCCTTCTCACTGATGGATCGGGTGGAGAGACATAGATGTAGTGAGGATTTTGGTTTCTTTAAAAATACAGAAATATTATCAGAATAGTTTAACCCCAGGTGTGGGATATGGGCCTGCTTCAGATTATCCACAGCAGCTGATTATGATTTGCCTCGTGCTCTAGCAGGGGTGTGATTTTGAAACAACAACAACAACAACAACAACAACAAGAAATTAGGTATCCTGACAGCAAAGATCAAACTTGCCCCCCAAGGGATTGGATGCCCCTAATCATCAGGAAGTAGACTAATGATAATGACACCCCCTTTCCCTCTAGCCTTTCACCTCTCCTATTGAGTGTCAGAGGGTTGAAAGGTGGAAGAAAAAACAGCCCACAAAGTATCCAGTGGTCTGGCTACACATAGAGGAGAGAGAGAGAGAGGAAGGTGCTGCTGGAGGAAGGAGACCTCACATTGGCATGAAGTGTGCCATGTAGGCGGGGCTGGCTAGCCAGTGGGTCCCCTGGATCTGTCTGTCTTTGCTTCCTTAGCACTGGGATTGATTGTTTAGTCCTTATGTTCGTATGACAAACACCTACCTATCATCCTTGCCCTCTTCAGTGGTGTGTGTGTGTGTCCACCTGCGCATGTGCAGTATTGTTTGCATGCAAACACGCAGACAAAACACATATACATAAGTAAGCCTTTAAAAAAAACGAATAAGGGATTTTGAGATGGCTCAGTGGGTAAAGGAATTCTCAGAAAGGCGAAGGAGAGGATAGACTTCACAAAGTTGTCCTCTGACACATGTGCCTTCCCTCCTACCTTCCATGTACGTACAAACACACAATAAGAAATAAAAGGTGTTTAAAAATCAAACTGTACAAAAGCATTTATATAAAAAGCATAGTCACCCCCCCACTCCTTCCCTTTTCAGTGGTAAACCATTTCTCCTTGGTATTTACCAAGATAAACACTCCTCCGCAACCATTTCCTCTTGGTATTCCTTCCATATTAAGTAACAGGCTTACATACTTGCTTTGGCAGAGAACATTCTCTATAGAGAACCTTCCTTTGAAGGTGGAGGAGTCTTACTTATGACTGTCTCCACCGACTTCTCCTTCCTCCCAATGCACTAAGATCCCTGGTTTGGGTTCCTCTGTCAGTTACTCTTGTCAATTCACAGATTATAATTATATAGCTCTCCTGCTAACCATGAGCAACACCACGTGACTTCCATTCTGCAAGCCTCCCCTCCCCTAACTCGTCCTCTGCTAAAGCAACCAGTGAGGGAACCACTAGCTATGAGTTTGCACTCCATATAAATCAAACAAGAAGAAAACCTCAGTCCCTCAGTTGCACCAGCTCAGTATCTCAAGCTTGCAACTTGTTCACATGATTGGTGACCACTGTATCACGTAGCACAAGATTGACAGGCCCATCTTCACAAAACGTGCTAGATGAATATTTTCTATATTTAATATTATATTCACGTTCTGTTTCTGTATGTGCATGTATGTGTCTTCATGTGTGGTGGATGTGTACATAGGTCTGTGTATGTGCTCACACATGTTGTGTGTGAAGGTCAGAAGTCATCTTCCACTTTATTTTTTGAGATAGTGAGCTCACTGATTGGACTAGAATGGCTGGCCAAAGATGAGCTCTGGGTTTCCCATGTATGCCTTTCCTGGTACTTGGGTTACAGGTGCACACGGCCATGCTTGGCTTTAACATCGAGTGGGAGGGATTCAACTTAGGTCCTCATGCTTTTGTGGCAAGTACATTACCAACTTACCATCTGCCCAGGCTCTTCCATATTCTGTTTTATCATTCCAATTGTCTTTTGTTTGTTTGCTTTAGGTTTTTTGAGACAGTGTTTCTCTATGTAGCCCTGGCTGTCCTGGAACTCTCTCTGTAGACCAGGCTGGCCTTGAACTCAGAGCTCTTTCTGTCTCTGCCTTCTGAGGGCTAGAATTAATGGCCACAACTGCCTGGCTTCCAATTATTTTTTGTGAGTTATTATTAGACAATATTCTAGCACTGAAGAAGGCAAGAGGCTGAGGCTGTGGCTCAGTACGGAAGGGCTTGCCTAGCATCAGTAAGTACTGGGTTCAATCCCCACCATCACAAAAACCAGACAAAATTAATAAGACAAATGAATAGCATTTATGTCATTAGATACTATATACATTTTCCCTAAATAACTAAGTTGTGCTTTTAAGCTTACATTGATTTATTTATTGTGCTATGTATGTGTGTAGACACACACTAACACACACACACACACACACACACACACACACACACACACGGAGATCAGAGGACTCTCTGGACTTCGTTCTCTACTTCTACAAGATTCCAGGAACTGAACTTGCCAGGCATGGTGGCAAATGCCTTTTCCTGCTGAGCCATCATGCCAGCTCTATTGTTCCTATCTTGAAAGGCATGGGGGTGGGATCTCAGACTGTAGCCCACCTCTTTAACCAGTGGCTATCCTCCTGCTTCAGTCTCCTGAGTATGAGAGTTATCTATGGGTGTGAGTCACACTCCTAGCCTTTCTGAAAGCTTCTAATGGCCTTTCTCTTAATTTCATTTTATTATTATTTTATGTATATGGATGTTTTGCCTGTATACATGTCTATGCACACATGCATGCAGGGCCCAAGGAGGCCAAAAGAAGGTGGGTAATCTTCTGGGACAGGAGTTACAGATGGTTGGTAGCCACCATGTGGGTGCTGGGAATTGAACCTGGGTCCTCTCGAAGAGCAGCCAGTGCTCTTAAACGCTGAGCCATCTCTCCAGCCCTCTGTCTTTCTTGACTTAGTGTATTATCTGCCTTTGACATACTGTTTTTTCTCTCATTATTATTATTATCACTACTACCCCTACCACACCATTGCTGTTGACAGGTTCTTTCAAGTAGCCCAAGCTGGTCTTGAGCATGTGATTTTCCTGCCTCAACCTTCCTTGTACTGCGATCACAGGCATGCACCACTGTGCCTGACTTCCCTCACGTCCTTCATCACAGCAAGTGTTCTCCTGACTCTCCCACTGTGTGCTCTCTTAGGGATCCCCTTCTCTTGCTCCTAGGTGGAACTGATGCTCCCTGAATCACATCTTCTCTTTTCTTGGCTCGCTTCCCTCTTGTTGAGGAACACATCCTCAACTAACTTCTTAAGAAAGGCTGTGTGGGAGTTGGATTTTTCTGGGACCTGTCTGATTAATGTCCTCACCTTCTTCATTTAATTTATGGTTTATATGGACACAGGATTCTAGTTCGAGAGTTGGGTTTTCTGAGAACTTGAGAATTATTATCTCAGATATGGTCACTCGTTGAATTCTTCTATCTTGCTTATGTGTTTTGAATTTCCCTCTAGGTAATCTGAAAATATGCTCTTTCTCTTTGCTTTTCTGAAATGTCACAGTGCCATATCTAGGTATGAATTTCAAGTTTCCTCTTTTGTTTATTGTGCTGAGCATTCAGTGAGATCTAAAGATTGATGTCCATCAGAGCCTGAAATGCATATTTTTAATCTTTTCCAGAATTTATTTGATAACCTACTTGATTTTCATTTCTTCATTTTGGAAACCTCTGCCAGTTGGAGAGGGTGCTAGGATTCTTAGACTGGTGTGTGTGTGTGTGTGTGTGTTCATATGCATGCACATGGAGGCCAGAGGTTGATATCAGGCATCTTCCTCAATTACTTTCAATCTTGTTTTTAAGGCAGCATTTTTCACTGAACCTAGAGCTCACCCATTTGGTTAATTAGCTGGCTAGCAAGCTCCAGGGATCTTATTGTGTCTACCTCTCCAGGCCTGTTTATTTTTTTGTTTGTTTTTGCTTTTCAAGATAGGGTTTCTCGGTATACCCCTGGCTGTCCTGAAACTTGCTCTGTAGATCAGATTGGCCTGAACTCATGGATGTCCACCTGCCTCTGCCTCCCAAGTGCTGGAATTAAAGGTGTGTGCTACCATTGGTCAGCCGTCCCTGGGTTTTAACGTAAATGCTGAGGATCTTAACTCTGGTCCTCATGTCTACATGGCAAGCACTTCATCCACTGAGCCATCTTCCAGCTCCCCTACATTGATTTCTCTGTCTTTGCTTCTCTTCTTATTTACACCTGCTTCTGTAAAAATATTATTTATTTTATGTATGTGAGTACACTGTAGCTGTCTTCAGACACACCAGAAGAGGGCATTAGATTCCATTACAGATGGCTGTGAGCCACCATGTGGTTGCTGGGAATTGAATTCAGGACCTCTGGAAGAGCATCAGTGCTCTTAACCGATGAGCCATCTCTCCAGCCTGACACCTGCTTTTATTCTGTTTACTGAGAGCCTGCTTTATCTTTATTTTCTAATCCTTTTGGTGAATTAAACAAATTAACAAACATTTTTTTTTCTGAGACAGGGTCTTACAACATAGTCCAGGCTGCTCTAGAACACACAATCCTTCTGGCTGTACCTCCCCATTGCTAGGGTGACAGGCCTGAGTGTGGCCTGTGCACGTGTGTGGTCAGAGGACCTGTCAGGAGCTGGTTCTCTCCTTCCACCATGGGATCTGGGGGCTCTAGCTCAGGTTCTCAGGCTTGTGCTGGGAGTGTCTTTGTCCACCCTCCTTAAATTATTAAATTGATTTAATAATTAATTTATTAAATTGATTATTTATTTATTATTAATTTATTAAAGTAATTTAATAATTTAAGGAGGGTGGACAAAGACACTCCCAGCCGACCTTGCTCCCTTTTCGATTTTAATGTGTGAATTTTATGCAAAAGAATTTAGTTGCTGGACAACTCCAGCAACCTGCTGATTTTCATGGAACCTGAGGGCAGTAGTGTGGGGGTTTCCAGTGCTGCTTGAAAGGAATGCACATGCATGTGTGTGTTCGTGTCTGTGGAGGTACACATGTGTGTTACCTCTCTAGATGACTGAAGGACTAGTGTGCTTTACATGTCTCCCCTGTCTCAGTGAGCCTGGAGTCAGCCCTGGCAAGCTTAGCCTCTGGTACCTAGAATAGCTGCCCCTGGCTGGACCCAGAGGTCCAGAGGTGGAAGTGCAGCATGCAGGGAGGTGTAGGCGTGTGGTCACTTCTTGGTAGTCCGAGTTTCCCCTTCCTTCTTTCAATCCCTTCTCAACTGGTGAGCTAAGAGAGATGGAGGAATCTCTTCTAACCACAATGGGAGACAGAGAGCAGTTCTTGAAGTGAGAGCATACATTATTGCCAGAGAACTATGTGGTTTATGCGTTGTCTGTCTTTAGTGGCCAAGTCAGTACTACTGGCCCTCAGTTTTCCCCTCTGTAACATGGGACATGTAATTAGTGACAGCACAAGGTCACTAGCAGAAGGAAGCAAGTCCACATATGGAAAGGTCTAAACTCTGGAGTGGAGTAGTCTTCAAGCCCGGCCTCCACACGCCTTACCATCCTTCCTTCCCACCCCAGTGTCCGATCCCAGCCCCATTCTTACTGAATCAGTTCCAACACTCTCCTTTTCATGGCCTGGACCAGGTCCCTCTGCCCTTCAAGCTCCTTCTGATACATGGCATCCCTCCTCTCAGCCTCCTGCTGCTTCTGCTCCAGCATCGCTTGCAACAGGGCTCTTTCTTCCTGACACCTGGAGACAGGGTGAGGCTCAGTTTTGAGGAGGAAGGCTCAGAACCTATCATGGGAATCCCTGGAGAAGCCAGAGTCTACATATAGGTACAGGATCTACACACCACACACATACAGAGGCATGTAACACATGGTACGCACACTACAAACACCTACCATTACTCAAACACACACACACACACACACACACACACACACACACACACACACACA